GGGGGGGGGGGGGGGAGAGAGAGAGAGAGAGAGAGAGAGAGATTTTACTAACACATATATAGAACTAATGCTACAGGATTACCAGAACTTTGTGGCATATATTTGCAAAGCGTACAAGGGACAAAACAAACCGGAAGCCTGTCAACAACATCATGTTGAGACCAATTTTTTCAAAGAGGCAAACTCTAGCTATCATGTTTGCTATACCGGTGAAAATAAGCATTCGTTGCCATTTAGCTACAACGTTTAATATATAATCTACAATTTATCATAATGTAAGTGCTTGGATTTAAACATCGTAACTCTAGAAAGACGATTCACTAACATTCCAAGAAATATGAACGTACCATATGTAAATTTAAGAAAATGAGCTTATGTTGATATATTATCGATAATTTTAAAATATAGAGTTTAAGTGGAAAGACCTGAAGTGTATGTTGTAAATCACACTATTCGACAAGCTTGATTGGGCCCTATTGTTTCTAAAAAAAGAAAATAAATCATTTTTAAACTAAAAGGGAGGGAGCGACGCTAGCATAACTCTATCTACCGGAGCCATCTCCTCAGTTATCATTGACTCCGAAGTGAAATCTGCCGAAAAGATAGCATTCCTAAGAAGGAAATATTATATAGTACGAGGTCTACCTAGTGCTGGATGCAGAGGTGCATATCTCACTAAATTGAATTGGGTCCAAGAATCTAAGAAATAATGAGAATTCTTGATCATGGAGAAAGAATCTTAATAAATGCAAAGAAGAAGCATCTCACCAGTTTATTCCATCATCACCATCTCTGACGCTTGCCATTGCATCCTTTCTTTGAGTTCGACCACCCTCTCTAGCGGCCCCTCTCCAACTCCATCATCACTGTCTTCGGCAACCCCCTCCCCATTTCCATCCTCACCGTCTCCGTTATCCCCCCTCCAACTCCATCCACATCATCTCCGACAACTCCACACCAAACACCCCCACCGTAATCCCATCTCCATCTCGATACTGTGAACATGAAAATAGTTTCTTGTGTGACATTTATGTGAAATGGTTTCAAACATATTGTTGTGTGAGATTTGTGACTACAAAAAAAGATCAATACCTTCTCAAAGGTGGGCTTAAACTAAATATGGTTTTACAATTTTGCATATCCTTGTGGCAACAACAAAGGATTGGACTCAAGAGTGGATTAATTGGTTACCTTGAATTTTATTTACATAAAAAAAAAATTGCAAAAGTAAGGAAGAAAAAAAAAAAAAAGAGACTAAAATGCTCCTCATTAAGGGTGCGTTTGGTATGCAGATTGGGTGGGACGAGATGAGACAAAAATAAATAGTCTCATATTTGGTGTGCTATGAAACAAAAATGAGATGAGGCAACATGGGACAAAAGTAAGATTAGGTGAGACTATTCTTAAGTTTTTTTGTTCCACCAAAAAAGGTAGAACAACATGAAACTAATTTAAGATTACAATATTGCCCTTATTATTTGATATCAAAATACAAACCTAATTTAATTGCATCATCTTTCTTCTCTTCCACAGCCTCTATTCTCGATTCCAACCTCCATTCTTGAAATGTTAAACTTTTGACGATGACGTGACAAATGTTATTTACAACTGTTGTTTTTAAACTTTTTAAATTATGTGCGTATTTAAAATTTATGATATGACAAATGTTATTTAAATGTAGTATTGGAATGTTAGAAAAAAAATATTCATATCATAGATTAAATAATTTAAATATATTTTTGGTTGATTTGTTGTTATTTACAATCATTATATGATATAAAATAACATTGAACAACATATAGGGGTAGTATAGTCATTTTAACAGTCTTGTCTTGTTCTAGTCGTACCAAACATAAGACGGACAAATAGTCTTGTCTCGTCCAATCTGCGTACCAAACACTATATAAATAGACTTCTTTTAATGAAATCAAGGGATATTTGGTTAGGATTGAAAATGAAAATGAAAATGAAAATGAAAATGAATTTTCACTTCTCAGTTTAATCTGGAATGAAAAATTGGGCTTCTAAAAAAATAAATCAATTATATTGTATAAAACCAAACAATTTCTTTTATTATCATTTTCGTTGATTATTGTTTAATATTTTTGCACATAAAGGTAATTCGGAATTTATAAGAAATTTGAAGAGCTAACACATAAATGTCGATATGTCCGAGTGGTTAAGGAGACAGACTCGAAATCTGTTGGGCTTTGCCTGCGCAGGTTCGAATCCTGCTGTCGACGTTTTGTTTTTGCTCATTTCTCCTCCCCCCTTTCTCTAACATCATTCAAAGTATCAAACCCTAAATTCAGTTGAAGAATTTCAACTATGCATATCCTTTTTCACACTTCACCTTACCAAATGTTCGTATTTGACCTCCAAATGTGTTTCTGTAAGTTTTCTCTCCATCTTCGTATATAAATTCATACTCTTGACCCAAGTTTGTTTTCCCAGATTTACGATTTCCGTTCTTATTGATTATATTGATGGCAATAGGAAATTTTAGTAATCGAAGGAATGTACAATACTGTTTGTTCATTTCCAATTCTGTATCTGTATCTTGTGTAATATCAAGCAATTGATGGTACGTGATGATTGTATACATAGTACCATATATGTCTGTATGCATTTGTTTCCATGTGGATCATTTTGTTATCAATTGTATCGCTACTGGATGTATAGAGCTTGTTCTTCATTGCTTTGATTGTGTCTCTGCTTTGTTGGAATTTTAACTGAAGTTGTTTTAAATGAGAAAATATATTTATTATCATTATAGAAGATGTGGGTTGTGACTTCAAGTTCAAGATAACATCATCGCGATAAGGTTATTAGGGGTGCGTTTGGTACGCTGGACAGGGTGGGACAGGACATAACACATTTGTCCTACGTTTGGTGTGGCTAAATGTGGAACTAAGTGGAACTAAGTTGGACAAGTATGGGACACGCGTGTTCTCTCCTTACCCCTGGAACTAAGTGGAACAGAGAAATTTTTACTTGAATACCCTTCCCTCTTTCTTCCCCACATCGCACCCTCAATCGGCGCCCCTGCACACTCATCGCACCTGCATCGACGCCCCTGCACCTGCCAAAGACCCTGCACACTCCATCGCACCTTCTCGACGGCGACAATCTTTCTCCTCCCCATCGACGCCCCTGCACCTGCCAAAGACGGC